CAAAAAAAGGAAGCAACATGTACCGTGGTTACATTAGCGTTCGATAAAAAATAATTGTATTATAAAATTGTTTATGGTATTTAACTAAAGAATTCCATTCGCCATAGTGATTCAACCACTTTGAATTTTCAAATTTTCAATCCGCCATAATGATGAGGTCAGTTTTCTAATGCAAACATTTAGAATATAAATTCGTAACAATATATTTCATAATGTCTAAAAAGGAGAGTATAATGGAGCAGCGCGCGCGGAGCGAATGTGCTAGTATTGCAAATCGTAGATGGTTTACAACAATATCGAATATATCATGGCTTCGTAATAAATAAAATTATGGAAAAATAGTAGTATATTGGCAGCCATGGGGCGTCACAACAAACCCTCTCCACTCTACCCTGGCGTCAAAACAAACCCCCTCTTCCCCCCCTCCTCGTCAAACCGAGCTGTCAAAACGAACCCCCTCCACGCCTCCCCAGACGTCATGGGCGTGGCCTAGACGGGTCCGTCTGGAACAATGGAGACTCTGATTGGATGGAGACGAAAAAAGGTGATAATGAGGTAATTAAATAGAGCATTTTGATTAGTTTGCTCCATGGCTGTCCACGCTACGATTAGTGAGGGAGAGGTCACGTTGAGAAAGAGAGAGTGAGAGTGAAAATGGAGAATGGGAAAACCAAAGAAAATAGGTCCCGAGACATTTTTTGTCAGGGGGAGAGGGAGAAAGGTACGGATATGAATAGCACGCAGTTCTTTACTCTGTAGGTTATTTTTTTGCTGGCGTGACCCTTTGTCTGCGACGTACCGATGTATATTATTTATGGGGTCTTTTACGAAAATTTTCGAGACTAAGAGACTCTCGCTTTCACTTGGGAGAAAGGCTAAGTAAAACAGGAATGAACATGATCACCTGATGTGACGTCTTCAATGTGATGATTCACACATTACGTTAAAGAAAAAATGCTTTTATATTTTTTCATGTATTTAATCTACATTATCTAAACCGTAAATGGGGAACGAGGTTAGGAAGAGTAAGGAACAGACGAAATTTATATGACAAAAGCATTTATTTTATTTTTTAAAAAAGGTATTACATGAAATAAGGTATTTTACTTTTTTAAAAGAATACACGTTTGAACATGACTGCATACAGCATGACAATTCGTTAATTTTCGTTTACAATGAAGAAAAATTTTATAAAATAGTTGTAAGATCAATCGATCATTGTGCTTATAATCAGAGGTAAACAGACTAAAAAACTGGCTAAGATTATAACCATTACACATAAAGTATAGAAATACACAGCAGTATTGTCCGCAAGTTTGAGAAAGCATTCCTTGCAGCGTCGTCGTATTCCAGCGATACGTGGTGGAGTTTCGGTGAAGACATAAGAGGAACCTTGAGTCCAAGAGCGGCAATCCGTAGCTATCGAAATACGTTCCTGTACCGTGTTCATCGATGTAGAAGGCGACCCAGTGTTGGCCAGGTCGATCGTGATCGTCCGTGTTAGCGATAATGGCAGTCGACCTCGTCCACACCCTCGACAGTCGGTCGGCAGGATAGACCCCCGCATATCGAACAATGAGATGATGCAATGCGTTTAAAACTTCCAACGAATTCATTTCTCGTCGTCGGAGAGCGTGAAAAAGGAAATGTTTGTGCAAATTCAGAATTTACCTCTTTAGGCGGTGCGTGCGTTCTAGAGTTCTCAAAATTTAGCCTTCGTGAAACGCTAGTGATAGCTTTATCTCTATCCGTCGACGGGTCGAATTCTAGATCTTTTTTCTTCTCGGCTGTCGCTTGTTCGTTCTCACTTTGCTTCGTCTTTTCTGTCGCGATATTTTTCTACGCTTCGATGTTGCGAAATATATCGTGTTTCTGATTTTTAAATTGAATCGAAAAATTTCGGCTGTCTGCTGTTTCGCTCTCGATGTCGCTCTCGCTCCAATTTTATGAAGGAAGACTCGTAGCTCGAATTGCTGTTATTTCGTATAGTTAGCCAGTGTTTCAATTTGTAAACATTGCGTAAAGCACAATGTGATTCGGCGTTGGTTCGAAATCCGTGCGTACAACGTTGTTCACGACCTTCGAAATCTGGTAGATTTTTGAAAGCCGGAGAAATTCTTTCCAGATATACGTTTCTGGACAGTAGATTTCTCAAATAACATGTCTTCTCTTGTCCTCTGCTATAGATGTAGCGTGCATGTCGTGTAATTTCTCGCAGATGTATAGTAAAGTATTCAGGATTGACGATTCGTCTCCGTCGAACCATTTGATTCCATGATAATTTCGTGTAAGCCAGTTGTTTTCTCGTCTTACTCTCTCGGGTAAATCGTGAAATTGATAAGGTGACTGCATAATCCAGTGTCCGGTGATCGTTGCATTAATCGCAAAAACCGCGACTTCTTTAGGGATAAAGTTTTCTTCGATATCGCGGAAACCTTGTATTTCGATGACTATATCCATTATGATATTCGAATTTACAGTACTCTTTCTTTTTTTACGAATCGTCGGCGTCGGTGTCACGAGTAAGACTGAAGCTGTTTCGTCAGCTTGCGTACAATTAGATGAGAAAAAGATAGTAGTGGGGGAAAATAATTTTCACGCGAAAGACATAGGGTTAACCAGAAAAGTCGACAATGACAAATGACAATCGATTTCTAAAACGTTCTCAAACTCGGCATAGACGATACAATTAATAGTCACGGAAAGAGCTTTTTCGAATCTCACTTCTAATCGTAAGCTACCGTGTTTCACGAGATTCCAATGCCCTGCACAATTAGCGGATAGATCCGGAGTAAGATCGAAAGCGAAAAGAGTGTAACCGGCGGCGTAAGCGTCTCTAGTTATAGAATTACCCTCGTTCAGAAAGTGAATGCCGATTCCCGAGAATAATGTGTGATAAGCTTCTACGTAGAGCGGTTTGTCTTTCGAAAAATTTGGTTGTAACGGTCTACTGAGAATTTGCATACCATCGACATACAGCAAAAAGAAATTTATTCCGTAATTTTTTAAATTGAACGGGTTCAATTTTCTATCATCGTTAAACGCTTTGTTATCGACAAAACCCACTATTACTCGTTTCGGTAGCTGTCCGAGTATTGCGTTGTCTATCGATTGCCCCACGACGCCAGCGTGTATCGTGAATGTTTTAACCTCGACTCTCGTAAGAGGATATTTGGCCGTAGTTTTACTCAGCATTCTAGCGTGTGCGAGTAGCACACCGGGACTTATTTTTGCTCTTCTTACGAGTAGACTGGCGTCAAGAATGCGTATTTTTGATAACGTTTTACTCTCCTTAAGGCAAAACGAATCTTTCGAGCGTACGAACCTCATTCTAACTTCCACTCCGTTAATTAAAAATTTATCTTGATTGAAAACGTCGCAGTGAAGGTGACCTATGAGATCTAACGCGCGATTCCCCTGAATGTATTTTGCGCGTCTCACGAGCGCCGAATTTGAGGTTGATGCGTCTAAGGGGTCGTCCATGTATCCGGGGATATCCGCGTCCCATAAGCAGGAGGTTAGATGGGAAGTTTTTGCGGGTGAAGCATAATTTAATAAGGCCTCGATGTATGCGCGGTACGCGTAAGCGTTGTTTGGCGGCGACACGAGCTTTTGATTGAAATATACGTCGATTTGGTTGAACATGGAATGCAATAGATGATTTACGGGTCCTACTTTTGCCGTGTCGTCGGGCGCGACCGATGTGCTCTCCCCGCTTTCGCTTTCTACGCGTATACGGAGGCTCAACATGGTGTGAGTGAGATCCAGATAGTCTTCTCCATGTCCGGGAATGACGAATTCTATGGGCGAGTCGTCCGAGAGCGAAGTTACGGGTTTGTAATAAATCCATTGCAAACTCTCAATGCTGATTTGCGTAGGAGGTAGAGAGAAGAGATTGAGTTCGCTCTTTATACACTCGCTTGAGTGGGTATGAAGAAAGGACATGCTTTTCCTCCAGTCGTGAATTCTTAACTCAATTAAGAGAATATATCGGATACGTCGCGTTTTTTGACTCGACGTTTCTTAGTGGATGGTTTTTTGGTTTTTCTTCCTGCAGCACGAATTTTCTTTTTCTTCGTCACTTTTTTGTTCTTCTTTCCTGCAGTACTTCTCGATGATTTTTTTTTCTTAACCACTCGGCGTCATTTACGGTGCACGATAAGACTATCTCGACCTCCAAGTGGAAACGCATCGGATTTCGCGGATATTTTATATTCCGATCCCCTCATCAGGGAACTTATTTTTTCTTTGGCTTTTCTCTTAAGGTTACTCCGCGATTCTACTAGCCGACTTTTGACCGCTTCCTTCAACGTCTTATTATTTTCGACGTCTTCTATCACGTTGATTTCCGCACGCAAAGCTTCTTTTCCGACAATACGTGCACCTTTATTTAGGTAGGGTAATATTTTTCTGAATAATCCACCGAGAAAGCTACCGATTCCATGTCCGCGTTGGTAGGGCGAACCGACGAAAACACGTGGAATTCCACCTCGGTTACCGATGCCCCATGCATCAAAATACTCCTCATATTCCATCGTGAGTTTCTAACTAAGACTACTCTATCAATTAAAGCCACTATTTATACGATCGCGTACACGAAAGAAAGTTATTGCTTACGTTTAAAGTGCAGTGTCACTGTCAACGTTCCGAATTTGAATGGAATTTTTTGTCCGAGATGATCTCTTATATCTATTTCAATCGTTCTGAAATTCGTTCGTCGCAATGGGATATAATTCGGAAATGAGAAATGCTTCACCAAATTTGCACCAAATGCATAATTATGACTGCGTATTTCAATTGGAACTACTCTGAGAAGAGGAGTGCGTACATCGCCTGTTATATAAGACTCGCAAATATCGCAATAAACGAACATTTTATCGGGGATAGCGCGCCACAAGCTACAGGGTTCGGTACTCCAGTAACTATCTACACAGTATAACTTATACTGTGCCTTGGTACATCGACCACCCCCTTTTTTCTGGCATTTGAGAACACCGCAGAAATCCAGCAGAGTGTTTTAAGGTAATCAGTTTCCTACACATCACTAACAGAAATTCACAGTGACTGGATCGCGCAAAGCATGTGCCCTGTGTTCCCGCGTTCCCGCGCTTCATTCAACGCTCGACTTCTAGCGGTCAATCCGTATGTCGCGTGGGTGCTTAGCGGTTGTTGCGCATCCACATTGTTCCATCAACACAAGAAGAGCGGAATAATCAAATGCACTGAGTGCTATACCGCGCTACCAACTCTTGAAAAGAGGAATTATTACGGGGTTTTACGCCATTATATCCATTTGAGTTACCCTGAACAATTCGAGACTTGCAGCGCATACTGTCTAATATTGATGACGCTTCGCGCGATTGCGGCTTGCTCCGATTGTCCCGGAGTTGTTGAAAAGATTCCTTGTGTTCTTGGAAGCGACGGAGGAACGACCGTGGAACGACTTCGAATCCATGATAATCGCATTATCTACCACTATATTCAGCGTTAGCATCTAGCCAACCAATAATTTGGACAATCCAGGCACGGTCCCCTCCGACGCGCGAAATCATGAGTTTCGCATCTCACTCATAGTCTCAAAGTAATTCGAAACCGAGAATTGGCCGAACCACCCTGAGATGTAACATAACACTCCTTTCGTTTCGATTGGTCAAATTTGAATTTTTCAGTCTTCAATCTCAATCTTCAATGCATAGTCTGATTCCGGCCTTATGATTACTGTTATGGTGCGGTCCCATGATGCGGAATTGGCGCAATAAGGAATTAGTGGAACGCTTGTGATTGATTTAGAAAAGACATCGACGGAGCGCAATTGACGGAATACTTGCGATTGGTAGGACATCGTTCCGTCAATTCCGCATTACGTATACATTCCGTACCATGGGACCGCGCCATTAAGCTGGAATCAGATTACGCATTGAAAATTGAGATTGAAGAGTGAAGATTGATTTTTGACCAATGAGGACAAAGGGATTTTAGCTTCTATTGTTTTGATTGGTCAAATTTCAATCTTTAACACATAGTCTGATTCCGGCTTTACGGAAAGTGTGTGCCATGACCTTATGGCTCTTGCACACTGGATGCGGAAAAGCTTACCGCGCGGCAAAATGCGACGCGGTAACCAATGAACATATTAGGAGCTGTAAGCTTATTGGCTAACGCGTCACATTTTGCCGCGCGGCAAGCGTTTCCGCGTCCAGTGTGCAGGAACCATTAAGCGTTGCCGCGTTCTGTATGCAGGAGCCATAAAACTATTCGTTCAGAATGAAAACGTCTAAGCGTGTGATGTCACATTACCCATGGACGCCCTTGTCCGAATGAAAAATTTTCATTCTGAACGCACCCCAGCGAGCACTCACGGATCCGCTTCGCGACAGTTGAGTCTGCTGAACGCAACTATTGTCATCAACATTGCAGCCGAAAAATGTCGAAATTCGGAAAAGGCCCTATTCTGCATAGGGTACGTTCCGAGTTACGCATGAAGCGCGTAGACTGCATAGAAAGTCATTTCGAGTCAAGCCCATGGCACATACAAAAACGTAAGGCCGTAAAGGCCATCACACGTACAAAAATTTTAATCGGAATCGTAAGGTCGCAAGCAAATCGACCAATCACAATCAAAATTAAGATCTCGCGTTTTTAAACGCTCGACTGTGATTGCCCGATTTGCTTACAACCTTACGATTACGACTAAAATTTTTATACGTGTGATGGCCTTAAGACATAATCAGTAAGCGAATTGGCCAATCACGATAAAGACCGTAAGGCCAGTAGCGAATCCAATCTTACGATTTCTTTACTGCTTACGTGTTACTCCGGATCTACAATAGGATTTTAAGCCTTAAGTCATAAGAAATGGACGAATCACAATCGATTATTCCCCTCGGATTCGACTGTAATTGGTCAGTTTCTTACGACTTAAGTCTTAAAACATCTATTGTAGATCCGGACTTAAGCTGGTTCTACATTAGTCGCATCGCAACGTCGCAAGCGTTGCAGTCCAATCAAGCTAGCTCGACTCTGATTGGATCATAACGCTTGCGACACGCTTGCGACACTGCGATGCGATCAATGACTACGTTTACACGGATCGATTTACGCCGAAGTTATAACATCGATGTTAGGAAACTGGCCAATCGCAGTCATTCCATTCTTCAGAGGAATAGCTATGACTGGCCAATTTCATAACATCGATGTTATAACTTCGGCGTAAATCGAGCCGTGTAAACGTAGTCAATGATCTCTGTTACACGACACGCTTAACCGGGTTTAATAATATCCGTAGTTATGAAATTGGCCAATCATAGCTGTTCCTCGGAAGAATGGAACGATTGTGATTGGCCAGTTTCATAACTACGGATGTTATTAAACCTGATTAAGAGTGCCGTGTAAATGTAATCAATGTAGAATCAGCTTTACGGCCTTACGTTTTTGTATGTGCCATGGGCTTTAGCTATTGGCTGCGTTCCGCAAAGCGCATCATGCGCATAATTCCTGCGCGCAGGACATGAGCCTTCCGCAAAGCGCATCATTGCTCCATGACTTTACCATGGCTATA